CCCTGGCGGCCCCCGAGCTCCGTGCGGTTCCCGCGGAGCTCCGCGCATTCTCCGCCTTTCGGAGCTGTAGGTGCCGGTGCTGTCTCGTTCACCAGAAACAGCACAGAATTTGGCAACAAATAAAGCAGCTCACTTCTGTTTTAACGTGGTCGTCAGTGCGTTTTAAAGCACGTACATATCCGTATTATTATGGATCCTTAATTAGTCCTAAGCAATTTCTCTTGGAAAACGCTGTGATTCACCTCTCCAGAGGACAGTTTCTGCTCTGTAAATAGGGAGAATGACAGATTTCCAGTAAACACACCTATTTCCTACGATTAAATACTGCTTGCTGACTACAGAAGGGAAAAGTGAGACTACTGTTGATTCGTGTTAGCCAGGAAAAGCTCGCAGCCACATCAGCTCTCAGTCTGTTCATTAAATTTCATCGTAGACATTCCAAAAGCAATGGGGCTTCATTCGTGCCAGCGGGAAATTTAATTGAAAATAGACTGGATGAACAGGTGTCAGTTGGCCAACAGTTTTAGTTGTTGCCATTGCCCAAGATGAAAAAGGATCCAGGTTAGATGCCCATCAAATTGGGCAACAAGTAGTTCATGCTTTAAGGGAGTCTCTTTGCACTGGAAAAGGCTTTTCCCAAGCTTGTTCTATGTGTGAAACTCAGTAMTAGGGTATGAAAAGAAGCCATAAAGGATATGGTTCCTCATCTATGGTTCTTCACTACTTTTTTAGATGGACACATTTCTCCAGCGTATGACTAAATTAAACAAATTTATTTCTTCTTTTCTTCCCTCTCCTCATCTTTGTCTGCAGCTCTATTCTGTCTATTAGACTGAGAAAATACAAGGGAATTCTGGGATCTGCATTTTTATGCACTGCTCAAGCAGTTCAGCTGACATGAAATTGATACCAACCTAAAGAAACATCAGCTAAAAAAAACATCTACAACCCTCAGGCTACCCAACTCCCTTCAGAATCAACTACCTGGCTAAGGAGGTAAYATCACTTACCTATCACAAGCAATGGTTATCAGGATTAGTGTTGCTGCAGCACTTGAGAAGCATGAATGTCCAGTTCCTCTCCATTAATTGTTTTTCTCCATTTCTTGCTTTACAGGTATAACTTGCTTTTAATTTTTGTATTTCAGCAAAACCAGGATGTGATGTTGATCCATTGATGAACCATGACACACCYCCAATTTACACACATAGTAGGGCTACTTCAAAGCATTCCAAGACCACCTTTTACCCATTTTTCCTGTCTACATTGAGATGAAAGCTAGCATCATTCCACAAAAATATTAAAACAGTAACAAAATACAATTAACCTTTTCCAGGCTTTGCAATTCATRCATGTCACTACAGTTGTTAGTGCTGCATTACACTGCAATATTTWWAAARAAAAATAACAACCAACCAAAACCCATTAAAAACGACACTGTTGTAAAGTGGGTGGTTTTCCTCYTCCCAACAGACAAATGCAACACATTTTTTACTCCAGACAGTTGTTCAGTTCCCCAGTTCCTAGAGTGAGCAGAGCCTCTGCAGGGTTTGTTTTTCTATTTAGGGTACTGTAATTAGAATTTGGACTCCTTCATGCAACTTTCACTCAGAATTCAAACTTGTCTTTAAACTGAAGCTGAATTCAACTCCAAAAGCTATTATTTCACCAGTTCTTCCGAGGATTGCCCACCCTCCCACATTCCAGTGTCCATGCTGTGCCCCCTTGGCATTGACTGAGGGCTGCTGCAGCCCAGCCCTTCCCTACTGTGGGTCATTTCTTCCTCAAGCACTTTGGAACCCCAGCAGGAACCTGGCTTCAGGTTCTCCTCAGAAGACTGCAGCAAGCAATCCATCCAGATTTCTCAGCATGTTATGAGCACAGCCTGACAGCCAGGCTAATGTGATCCCTYGAGTTCAGCCAAGCTCCTCACCCARCAGCAGCGATGAAATTCCAGTCAGCACAAGCCCACTTTGTTACAAACCTTTATTATCTGACACCTCCTTGCCACAGCTATCATTGAAACAACTGACATTCATATTTTACAGGTACCATAAAAAGTTACAAAGTGTAAACTATACTGTGTAGTTCACCAAGTGAAAATACTTGAGGATTGACTTTCTGTCAACAGAATTTGGCACAGAGGTGTTCACACGCAAGGGAACAGGCAGGTACTTCATCCTGAGCACGTCAGGGAGGCAGTGTTTGCATGGTTTAGAGGCAGAGCTTCTCCYGTTGATGGATGGCTGGCTTCCCTGGGATTACCTGTGGCATTAAAAGGCACAAAGAGAAACACCCCACGAAGCAGGCCCCAGGCAGGGTGGGGATCACACCAGCAATCTGAGCGCTGCCCAGTTCTTCCAGTCACAGCTGGGGTGGGGGTGTCACATTCCTACCAGCTGCTTGCTCTTATCTTGTCCAGCAGGAACTGCAACTGGACGTTCTTACTCCAACAAACATGGGCAGCCTCCTCGGGGCTGCAGTGGTGCTGGGATGGGTGCCCGTGGTAGCCAAAACGGGGCTGTGGCTGCCAGGGCTGCAGCCTTTAGGCTCAGGGTTGCAGGGCTGCTTTGCAGATCCACACACTAGCACAGAGGTAAAGATTTTAGATAACATCATGTCTATCACGTTTAGAGACAGAAGTTCTATTTTAAAATAAACCTAGATACACTWGACAATTGATTAATAAAAAGTAGYTTGGAAGGACCACCATAAGCAATAYGCAGCRGTAACTGTRCAAYAATAAATATTTGAGTTGTTTGKAGATTTTGTTGGGTTTTTTGTTTTTTTACCATCTCCATTGTTACAAAGCAATGACAATATTAGTAGCCATAGTAACACAATCCCTACTTGTTCTATCTGAGTCAGTTACGGATGGTACAGAGCCCACAGATAATTTTCTTGTGAGATTCAGAGGAAAGCCTGTTTGTAGGGTACTCTTTTGACAGATATTGTGCCAAAATCAATATCCACATATTTCCTAAAAGTTTGGGTTAATTTGATCAACAAAAGACCATTATTACTTCCCATCCTCAACACAACACTARCATTTTTAAATTTACAGCCTGATCTTCTGTATCATTAAGGTAATGGGAAAGGAACAGACTGCGAATGAGAGGAAATATCTCATTAGAGCAGATGACCTAGGAGAGAACAGTCTGACACAGACTCCAAATTCTTCTTTCATGAATAATCAGCTCCATCCATCAGGGCAAGCAGGAAAGAGTCAAATCCAAAGGAAATTTCATACAGCTGGCTAAGCAAAAGCAACTGCTCAGGGATCATCATTGCTTTGTACAATCCTCAGGACCCTGAGACCTCCTGCCAGGTATCAAACCTGCCATGTCTGACCTCCCTAGGTCACATACCCTTCCCAGAGCTGAAACAACGCTGATCTGAAGCTCGTGTCACACATGCACAGCCACAGTGCCTCCTCTTCTCAAACCCTGCTCCCTAAAACCCACTTCTGCTGAATGATAAGYCACCACTCCATATTTCCCATGCATAGAGACCAGAGATCTCAACACAGGGAAAGGCAGACATAAAGTGAGGAAGCAAGATACCCACACCACATTGGTCATCAGTGATCAGCAAACGCATGGGAATGGGGGGCAAGCACACTGGCACCAAGAAAGCTCAGGTAGAGGTGAATTGTGAGCACATTGACAGCAGCCTGTCAGGGAAGAGGGGCTTCTTCAGGCACTGCAAATTCCAGCCCTGGTCCCCAGAATGACTGTGTCATTGTAGAGAAAATGAGAGCAGGACTCAGTGGCTCAGTGCTGTTTACATCCGGATGACAAATCGGCACTGAAGGAAGAACCCTCTTAAGGAAACCACCTTGTTGCTGGAGGGCTTTTTGGAGCACAGACATCCTCTCTGGCTGGCAGATACTCATTTGGCTTTGGGGCATTGGTTCAGTCAGAGTTCACTGAGTAGAAGTCAAGATATTTACCCTCTTTTCTTTAAACACCTTCATCTTGCTAAGAAATATTTCCAGAGCTCTACCTTGTTCCCAAAGCCCCAGCTGTGTTTCTTCGGAGAGCCAAACAAATACACWGTGTCCAGTGCTGCTTTTCCTGGAGCATCCCAGTGCTGAACTGAGCCAACTGCAGATGCCCTAGGCTGCCTGAGAAGCCCATGCATGACCTGTCAGAGCACCTAACTGGCATAATATTCAGGCACCAAATCTGCTTTAAGCAGAACAAATTCTTCACTAACATCAGATCTGCAAAGTCTGCATGCAGACAGAAAGCATGTACAAATACAAGAATTTATCTCATAAAAATTCAGTAATATACTACAATTCTTTCCACACACAATAATCTCCAAGACCTAGGTATTTTCACTGAAAAGGAGTTTGGCTAAGATTTTTCTCTTTTCTTTTCTGAAGTGGGCATACACATTTAGGATAAGCCTTTTCTCAAATCCAGGCACCCAGTTTATACAAAATGCATCCTCTTAACCTGCTGCACCCTAGAGCTGTGCTCACACTGTCTTGGCATTGCAGCTGTGTCACCCTGTAGCACGGCTTTGCACATACTTCCCCACATCTGTCAGTGGGGGAGAAAAAGGCATTATCAAGTACAATTTCCTTGGAGAAATTTCAGAATTGACTGATAAAATTTGGCTCCCTTGCCTTCTGTGCAAGTGCTTGACATATGATCATTTTTATTTTGCACAGGATGAAGAGTTCACATGATTCCCTCACTTCTCCTGCCATCTCTTCTGAGGCTGAAACTACCAAAGCTGCTTCATCTTCCAAAYTTATGAGCCAAAACACAGATTGTCCAGAAAAGTCACATCATTCAGTGCTTCCCACCACTTGGCACACAACATGCACACAGAAACTCAAAACACACTGTTGTCCAAACAGAAGGTTTGCTCTGCTCCATGACTTGGACAAACCATTTTTGCCAATATCCTATTCAGGGYTGAAGGCTCCTATTTATTCTTGAATTCACATGTAAGCAGTCCACAGTAGCCATCTGCTGAAAACACAGACCTTCATTTCTGTGGAAGAGCAGCAGGGGTTTCTGATGTTCAGAGAACAACCTGATGTCATGTTTGATAAATGCTGGTAAGTCTCTCAGCCTCTAATCAAAGACTTTTTGGGTTTATACTTCTGCTAGTGATCTCATGCTGGGGCAATTTCCTATGCTCAAGCTATGGGTAGGTACCATGGTGGTAAGAACATCTGTGTGCAGTCTCTCATTTGCATTTCTGGCACACATGAACTTAAAAGGACAACTCAAAACAGGACTGGCTTCGAGGCTTACATCCCARTGATCCCTCCCTCACCCCCACCGCCCAAGAATAAGATAAAAATCAATAAATCATCTAATAATCCCTTCTTAAAAGTATTCCTTACATAAGGATAATTAAAGATTGCAAAATATGGATTGCAAGAAAGACATCTTTCAGCAGACACTGCTCCTTTGCACGAGATTCAGAATTACAAATTGTAATTTGCTACTCGAAGATGAGAGATTTATGCTCAGGGATGCCATAATTGCTTTTGTGTTCTTCAAATAATTTCCTTAATTTCTGTAGATACAAGGCATGTAGCTCATCAATCTCTTCAGTGGTGGGGTTCAAGTTCTGTTTTACAGGGATGGGGCTTCCCACTGTAAATCAAACACAACAGCATTAGCTTCATTGACRTCTCTTTCTAAGTAGAATAGCTGTCCCTTCTGTAGCAGCTCCACCACAACTCCCAGCCAGATGGCAGAATCATAGCACAATTTTCTTACCCTGGGGCCTGATCCTGCCTTTCACAAGTCTGAGTCCTGAGTCTGGTTTTCCACTTCCTTTTGTTCAAGTTCAGGTAAAATGAATTTAAACCCCATGATTTCAGTTTGRCAGCAAAAGAACAAGTGAGAAGAGTGATAAGCTCTAACTTGAAGGAGCAGTTTACATTTCAAGATACAATCCCATGGATTATGTGCTGTCTACAAGCTCAACACAGCATTTAAAAAAAATGTACTTTCTCATTGTCTTCTGATCTGAATGCTAAAGCTACTCAATGTGATAGACATGCTTAAAAGGACAGTGGTGCCCTCAAGCACAGAGTCACATGAACAGGACTGAAGGAARTATTTATCTTCCAACTTATTCAAAATGGATATCACTGCACTAGAAATATTGTTGATAACCTCAGACTAGGAGGGGTAGCACATAAATCCCCTAAACCCTGTGAGGGGTCTCTGAACCATCCATTGCCCACAAATGTCACTGAAACCAAACTGTTCTCCAGACACTGTGCTAAACCTGCTSCCTGCTCCATGGGAGGTGACTCCATGGAAACCCAGAGGGCAGCCTTCTCTTCRACAAAATCTATGGCTAAAAAGCCTGGATATGCTAAGAGAAGCTTCCCATGATCTCAGTCATTCCTGTGCTTTTCAATCACCAGGTTTTGACAGCTGCTCTTTCATTGGAAGCACCAAGACCTTAACAGACCTGACTGGGATTACAGAGGAAGTCTGTMGAAAAGCAGACCTAAAAGCACCCCCAGGAACTTTCCCAAAGGCACCTGAAAATCCCTTTCAACAGATGTTGCCACTTCAGATTGGATGGTGATGACTAAAGGGAAGCCCAGCCAGAACCACAAAGAGCTGAGGCTGCAATTTCCTGCTGCAGCTCCAGCTGCCAGCAGCTCTCAGGCCATGCGTGGAGCTGAAACTCAGACTTTACACAGCTGGGGTAGGAGCCCAGCCCTGGATGGTGCAACACCTCAGGGGGATGTGAAATCAATATACATACGATACAATTTCCAGAGGCAGGASTGGATACTGCAAACTACCCCATGCCCTTCTGCAACAGTCTCTTCTCCCAAGAGGAGAGATTTCTTGTGGAACTGAAAGCTACACTCATCTCTCTAATATTGTGTGCAGCTTGAAGGAACMTGCTTCATTTGATATTTTGCAGCAATAAAAAAAAAAGTAAAGGAAAAACAAAAGTACTTCACTCATCAAGCCCAAAACACTCAGACTTCCCAGATCTTGGCTTAGCTGAACRGCTCCTGGATCCACGGCTTCCGAACCAGGGGTGAAATCAGCCACACTTGGCCACATTGTCAGCACAGCTCATCAGTTCAGGTGAGCTCACTGTGCCTCTGCAGCTCTCAGGAGCTGAGCCAATGCTTCCAAAGCCATATTGAGCCATACCAAGAACACCCCACCACACCTCCAAAGACACAGGGACGTTGTGACAGTTCTCAAACATGGGGAAAAAGACAGAAAAGGCAAAGGATTTCATGAGATCTTACAAGCCCTGTTGCAAGACTCTGGTCTTGCTGATTTGTAGCACTCCTGTGCTCTTGGCATGATGCAGAATTGCCTCAAAGAATATGATATTTTAAACTTCAGAATAGTCCTAGTGTCATTAGCCCAAAGAAAAATTGCAGAATATACATTTYGTCCCATACATCTCATTCGAAACCTTTGATAACTTTTTGGCTTTAAAACAAGTTTAAAACACTGCCTCTGTACAATATGAGCTTTAAAAATCATATCTTTTCAAAATATTTAACTGTATGAACTGATAAAACACAAATCTGCATGAAATTTAACATAAAAAGAGCGACATCTTTTGTCATTTTACTTTTTTGCTTACTATAATCTGCTGTGGTGGTTGTGCGTCAGCTGGAACACCCAACTGCAATTTCTCTGCAGAGCTAAGAAAATAAAGTTCTGGGCTTCTTRCAAAACAACTGCAGCATCCAGAACCCACAGCAACAGCTGCACAGCTGTGGCAGCCCTCTAAAAACTGGACTGGTATAAAAACTGGTAAAAACTGGACAACCTTTGGATTTCTTTGTGTATTACTGAGGATAGAAGACTGTGGATAAGAGAGAATGAAAAGTAAGATTTGGCCTGGGACAGGAAGGGGAAAGGGAAAAAAGAACTGCCCCTTTTAATTAGAAGGACAGCAATTAAAAATAGTTTGAACCTCACATACTTGTTTTAGATGCACAGTAATCAATTCTTTCTGTTAGAACAGATATATAAATTTACAGATATTAGCAGCACACTGATGCATTTTTAAACACTTGCAAACACATTAGAAAAGGTGCAGGGAACTTACCAACAGTATGAATAGGTTGYCTGTAAGGTATTAAGCCAAAACTGTATTGGAATACTCCTCTAGCATGAAACAGCGGTAAAGCAAAGCCCATTATCTTTTGCAATTTTTCCTGTACTTTTCTGAGCCATGAACCTTTGGGGTTTGCAACTTGCTTAAATAGTTCATTTTCACCAAAGGAAAACACCGGGACCAGATGAGCCCTGCAAAACAAAGAGGACACTGAGAATTCCACATCAGCCTGCACTGGCACTGCAGTTCACAGCAGCAGCATGGAAACAGTTTCTCAATAACCAGCASAGAAAGCTTCAGCAGCTTCAGATTTCATCAGCAACAGGCTTTCAACTCTTCTCATGAGCAGCTGCTTTTGGATGCCTTGGCTGGCTTGTGTTTGAAAAAAAAAAAAAAAGTGATTAGTACACAACTAGCAACTTGCTTTTGGCAGTACATAGCTGGCTGGTACCTATTGCAACTCGTGACTGTTCAGAATTATGAAAATGAGTGATTGCATATATCACAAGTATGACATTATCCACCACTATTTCAGCAAGTCCACCCTTGTTCCACTACCTGTTTTCCCTGGGCAAGCAAAGAAGCCTCATTGCTAACCTTATAATGCTCCCAGCTGGGTGGCATCAAAACCAGATCTTGGCTTTCCCTTGTCTTGTGACCGGAGTAATGCGTGCCCTTGATTTCAGCACAAAAACCATGATAAAAACCAGACACCCTCACAGACATGAGTGCAATGCCAAATTCCTCCCCTGCTGTCCAATTCCCAGCGAAACTCTGCTTCCTCTGGACTTCTTCGAAAACAGTAGCCTTAATCCATTATTACCAGAGGTCAAATCCTGCCCACAGAAATTACATGAACTCACTTTGGCTCTTGCACAGCCTAATGAATTCTCATTCAATTCACGAATTGGCTGGGGAGTAAAGGCACTGACTAGCTCCWGGACAAACTACTTTAGTGGATGGAATCAGTGCACTTATCCCCAACAGGTGAACACACCATTGTATTTAAAACCCTGGCTGCAACACGTTTTTTGATTAATGCTTAGGTTCATTCAATATTCTACAGTATTTAGACAAAAAGAAAAAAAAAGCAGGGTAATCCCAAGCAGTCTATGAAGGATTCAGGGATGCTTTGTTTGCTTAAATTAAGTCTCAGTTTCTGTATCTTAGCTCTATTCAGCCCCCACTATCTTYGAGGAAAACCTTTCGTAAAATAGCAATATTGCTGTAATATTRTCAGAATGAATTTCTGCGGAGTTCTGAATGTCTGAGGAGGATGCACAGAGGACAGAGCTGGCTGGAAAGCACTGGGGATGGGCAAAATCAACCTGACCACAAAACACAACTCTTCAACAGCTTCTTTAGCCTGAGGACTCACACCAACTATCATTCCCACATACAATTCTCATTAGTGTCTACTCAAAGTTTCTTTCTCCAGTGGATTTATCACCCAGCCACCTGTAAAGGCAATATCATAAAGCCTGGTACTCCCTGTGGCTGTGTAAACACTCCACTTTTTACTACAACACTAAGACAAACAGGAACATCTTGTGGTGCAATAGCATCCTGGCACTGTGGGATYTGTTTTAATCTGGTGAAGGCTTTTGCAAGATGCTATGTAGGAGGCTGAGACAGAGGAATAAGTAACTTATGATTGTGTAACTAAAGATAAGTTAGCTGATTCATCACTTGTTTTGTGTCTTTAGGATTTCTTCACTTGATATCAGATATTTGTACTACCTTGGACCACAGTGTCTTTTGCAGAAGTGCAGAGGACTTTTGTTGACATATTCAGGCCACATTTGACAAGCTCCTAGCTGAGGAACACAGCTTCTCTGTGCTGGCAGCACAGGAACCAGGGCCAGCTCTCTGCATTCACCCTTCCTTCCTGTGTTGGTATTTGCTGCTGCAGATCACGAGCACCAGSAATGTGTGCAGGCACTGAGGGCAGGTGGTTCTTCTCCTCTGCATCTCCCTTGYCCTTTCATTTCCACTTCAGTTGGAAATTTTCTTCCCATTTTGTCAATCGTTAAAACATTAAAACCAGAAGAAATTATTGGATGCCAAATCTTTGGGCAAGACCTCTGTTAGATTCACAGCCCTGCTGGAGACATGTAAAGTCATAATTCCTATGCTTCATGTAGAAGCAATTTTTCTTGCTGGTGTTTGTATGAATGAGCTGTAGCCTGATGGTTACAGTGAGCCTGTGAGGTGTAGCCCTCAGYCACCCAGGGTGAGATGGGCATTGTCACCCAGGGAAGGGCTCGAGACATCTATTGACCCTTTTAGAAAGGGGAGGACCATCATTGGAATCAAAGTAAATGAGTAAGTAAAGGGGTCATTCCTGTGTTTTGTAAGTGTCCCACTCTTGTTGTTATGTGTTGGAGATACTTTTGAAATCAAGGTCATGAGATGCAGAGGTTATCTGATTTCTCAATGCAGATCAATTTAGATGAGAGATAATCACCAACAACCTTTGTGATCTGACAGACCAGACATTTATCAACATGCTCAGGGGGGAAAAAAAAAAGTACCTAAATATTCTTCTAAACTTCATGGTTAAAACAAATAAAAGCTATTGAGAGTGTGGAGGATCCCACTGAATTAACCAACAGTTGACYAAAATTGAGTAAAGACTCTTTTAGGCACTCAGGTCCTATTTCAAATACACAAGAATTGTTTCTGGGTACAAATTAGAATAAAATGTTACATTCTAACAAGCAAACGGGTCCTTTATGAGAATCCTAGTGACAAGCGTAAGAAAAGCCCTCTGAATTTTGGCACAGAACAGTTTCTAGAACAAAACAATTCCTTAACACACTGCGAAAGTAGAAAGCTCCTCTCCTCAGAGACAACCTTTTCTCCAGTTAATAGCTTTGTTACAGTTTTCTCAAAACTAGTATTTTTTCTTATTGCTTCACATGTCAATGTATACTCCTGGGAGCTGTCCAGAAAGTGTAGCCGGAACAAACAATTGGCTCCAATATTTCTAGTATACAAACCATCTAGACCAGTCCAGAACAAATACAATAGCTCATACCATGTAAATCACTCAAGAGATATTGATACCATCTCTGTTTAATTAAAATTAGAAGACAATTCTACCTTAATGTATCTTCAGTTTACAGAACAGAAAGCATAAGGTTTGCTCTAGTCAGCAAAACCAGCTAAGGTTTACTAATATTGTTTCATAATTCTTATTCTTTGCTAGTGCAAGAAACATCTGAAATGAAACAAGATATGCTAATAACACCTACTACTTACAAATTATGAAAGTCAAAGGGAGCTTTCAACACTKGCAGATTCGATCTAGGTGGACAGACTGGCTCCTATGCCAGATATCTGCATGTTCTTAGACAAGTAACTCTTTCAAATTCTCTAGTTTTATATAATATGAGCTATATTTAGGAATGAATCTGAGTTCAAAGCACTTCATGGAAGACCTACCCATGCTTCAGGGCCATTTTAATAAAGCCTTTCCTCTTGAGGATGTTCAAGGTTAGACTTCCAGGATGTGCATTCAGAGATTCCTCTGCTCCTCCAATCACAATGACGGATGCATGGCCACCKCCTTCATTATTCAGCACATGTGAGACACTTTCCTTGGATGCAGAAACCATTCCTAAAGAAGGAAACATTTTAAGAGTGACCACTAGATCTTCATACACAAGTACAGTGGAATTTAGGAATCATTATAAATACATAAATGATGTTTCAGAATCATGACATCACAGAACACATTTCAAAGATTTGGGTTCAACCTCCTTACACTGCAACAGATTTGGTGTTGAGCAAGTGCTTTGTTTCCCACTGATGAGTTAAATTAAGCTGTCTATTGCAAGAGTTTTGAGCTCTTCAGGGTGTGCTCTTCTGCTAACTTAACTCCCCCTCAGAGACACTGTGTGCCCAAGAACAGAGAGAGCAGCTAAAGCCATACAACAGGAGCATATAAACACAGGCACAGAGGGGTTAACAGAATGAACAGAGGACTTGTGAATTCAAACATGGAGCTACAGTGCCAAGCAGACCCCATTCCTCTCACAGCTATAAAGCAGCAGCCCCATTTAAGGCAATGACATGGCAACATTAGGACAAGCAGAAAGGGCTCACGGGTAYCATTCCCAATGACTGCATCAGCTCATTCTCTCATAACCAGGCCCAGCACTCATCAATATTTAGGCTAAAAGAACAGGTCATACGAAGCTTTTCTGGTACTCCTGCTGATGCAGATACTTCTAATCAGAAGCACACTGCTGTACAAGACCTTATCACTGATTTACATCTTGCTCTGGACTTGGTGCTTTGAAATATCCTCTTTCTAACAGATGTGCACCTAATACTTCAAAGGTTCCTTTTTGCCCTAAGTTTTACTTCAAAGGGTCATAGCGGTACCATTTAGCCAGAAGCCATGTTTAATTACACTGTGTCGAATTCACATAATCTAAGTGACAATTTAGAGATCAAGTCTAGTTTACATTGTTGTTGGTTTCACAGAGCTGGTATCAAAATACTCTCTTGGATCTCCTGTTACCTGCTTGATCTTTTTTCTAATAGAGATGTTACAATGTAGATTTTGAAAATCTCATAARACAGGGAAGATGACTGTGATCTACTTTTGAGAGCTGGCCACCAAGAGGAAAAGCTTGCTACTGGAGCAAGTTCAGACCTCAGTGAAAAGCTACTTCCATTTGCCGTATTTGTCTTCATGGYCACTATTACACTGAAAATGCAGTTGACCTGAGACTCACAAATAATTCAAGTGATGCTCGTTCACCCATCAGCATGCATTTTCCCTGGAAAGGAAAGCAGGAGCTGCAGCTTTCCCCAGGACAAATTTGTTTCCTGCTGAAGCTGAGCTGTCAGCCTGCATGCAGGGCACTGCTCYGTGCCCACACTGCAGCCCGGGAGACAACAACTTCAGGTTCTGGAGACAGGCAGAAATTCACCGGGAAYTGAAACACTGTGCTGGGAGCACGGCTTTCAGTTACTTGGAAGATTTTGCAAGCATTTTATGATTTKACTGTTGACCTGCATTACACTAAATGTCTCCTCTTGTTTATCAGCTGCATACCTGGGAAAACTGAGCTCCAATGCTGGCTATTCTTTAGTGTGCTTTTTACTCCAGTTATTTTCATCCTGAAGGTAAATATTTGCTCCTATGGGTCAAGAYGCCAAAAACATGTAAATCTGACTTCCAGATAATGATTAAAAGACAGTGCTTAAAACTGCAATGCACCACTGCCTATCCCTCACTTAGCAAGCCTCAAAGAATGCCCTCAGAAACAACATTTGCATGGAAAGGCATTCTCTGGTATGTTGAAGCTTACATAGATAAGYAATTCTSATTTTAATTTGAGCAACAACCTAGRGAAGTTTCTGTGAACGGAGCAGTGGAACAGCTTCTCTGAGAACACAATGYCTGTRTTGCAGTCAGGAATAAAGCCAGATYTCTGTCTCCCAAACCTAGYCTTGTGCATCAGACCATACTTAAATGCTGTARTTGAATGAACTTAAATAAAATAACTCCTGTATTAAACCACTGGGGAGGAACACTAGTTCTGATTTCATTCTTCTGTTCCCTCAACTTGACYGTTTGTTATTTTTATCTTTTATTACAGCAATACCAGTCACAAATATTACCCCTTTATGACAAATGCTTCTCAGAACACAGAAAAAATGTTCCTCTCTTTAGAGYTTACATCTCAATTAAAATTACACAAATTCACAACCTGGAATTTCAGTCAGAAGCAGGTAATTAAGTTCTGAGAAGGAAGATACTTGTAATGTGTAAAACAAGCCCTTCAGGTAAGAGATTAGGCTGAATTTGTTTTACAAGTGCCTGCTCAATAACTAAATGACATTACAAATTATTATGTCCTTCTCTTCTTGTATATATCAGGTACTCAGTACTGCTGTCTCATAGTTCAAAGGAAAACCAGCATTTTTTTCAGAAAGAAAAAAAAAGCCCAGCGATAGTTTACTAAACTATTAGTAAAATCTTCCAAATTGTTTTGCCACAACAGTTCATCTTAAAATAGAGGTTAAATTTAGGACCAGCACAGATCTTTCTCAAATTACTTACCGTATATAAGCAGAGGAATAGACTCTGTATTTGTAAAAGAAGCTAAAATATGGAGCAACAGCTGAGACATTCTGCTTTTACCTACCAGCACTCATTATGTATTCTCTGAAGAAGGGGCAGCCAAACCAGATGGGCATGATATGAAGATATGGAGTAAGCCCAGGAAATAAATTTTTGAAAGTAGGTTCGGTGCAAAAGTTTCCAAAGGCTCCAGCTACCAGGACCCCATGAGGGTGAAAGCCAAGTAAGTAGTTGTGATTTGGGTTCAGTTCTGAAGTTTTTATAAGCTGAAAAAGAGTCAGTGGTGGGCATTATAATATTTACCTCAAAAACAACAGCTATGGAGATGCACATTGACAGGACACAAACAACAACAATRCATTTCCTTCTGAGCACTTAAAACTACTATCCTGTTTTGCAGATGAACAAAACTTAAATAGAGGTGTCAGGATACCATGACWAGCATTTACTGTGCTGAAGTACTGCCTTGTGACCCAACAGTCCAAGCAGAAAACCAGACCCTGTCCCTGTTTGTCACAAATCTCAGATTTCCCGTGTTTTAAAAAGAAGTAAAGTTCATCCCGGAGTATTAGAATTTTACCCAAGACGAGTCTTAGACTTTTGTCTCATAGCTATTCAAGCTGTTTGTAAGAAGCCTTTTACTTACATGAATGGGGAAGTATTCCCTGAAGTACTTCCAAACAGTCCAGCTTCTGACCCACTGGGACCGTCTGCCCCCAGCACATGGTGTATCCCAGTCGAGGTAGAGCCACAGCAGGTACAGAACAGCAAGGAACCAGAAGTTGCCCAGGATCAGGATCACAAAGAATCCACAGCAAAACTCTGCTACATGAGASAAAACCAGAAACCATAGCAAGCATTAACCACACCTATGTCCTTTTAAGACCCTGTTTTTTTTTTACAGATGTTACTCAAAATGCATACAAATTGAACTCAGCTTATTCCACTGTGTTGTTACACACAGTGAAACATCTCAAGAGTGTATTACCTCAGTCTATTATTTCTCCCTCTACTGGGCATTTGGTAACTAATGCTTGGTAGAGAGCATCTGGTTTACATTAGGCAGAATGAAAGGAGACAGCAAGAGCTAAAAAGGATGTGATGCTCCAGGGAGCGAGAAGAAGAAAGCAGAGCTGGGGAAGGAGAGAAGGGAAGGGAGAAAGAATCACAGCAATATCTCTTTTATAATGAGAGCAGTGTTGGGCAATCATTTTCCATTCTTAGTTTCTCTACCTATAACATGGGGGTGGTAGTTCTATTCCCAGCCAAAAGTGTTGCCATTGGCCAAGAAGATGCACTATACAAGACCAAAACATCAGAAGATATAGCCAAAAAGATGTCTCACTAAGTGGAAGTTCAGTACTGCTAAGGGAACACAACAGCAGGTTTAAGCCCTTCAAATTCACTTTAGAAAGAACCATAACATCCTGCTACRATGGTGATACACAAGAGCTGTATTAACACAATTCAAAGAACAAGAAAAAATTGTTTGGTTAAACAATSTGTTACTTTAGGGGCCAACCTTGAAACAATTACTCAGGGAAACACTATGGACACTTTATCTTTGTAGAATTTGCAGAATTTTATGCTCTTGCAGCAACTTGAGCAGCCCTGGACAGAGACATCTGAAGAGCAGGACCTGCTGTTCTCTGCCCTTTGTCTCGCAACTGACTGCCTTTCGTGAGGGCAATATCCTGTGAGGTTACAATATCCTAGCAGAAGTTACACCAGTAAAACATACTGAGCTAAATACACCAGTAAACAGAGCAGAATTAAAAACAAACAACAGGCAATTATTTGGCTTACACAATGTAAATAGCAGAACTAAAAACTAGAATAAGCAGATGGACTGAGAGTAAAACTCACTCATTCTAGTTCAGATCACCTTCATGCAAGAGAGTATTACTTGGGTGTTGAAAACTCWGCAGATTCCCTGGACTAAGCAGGTTTTGAGCTGCTGAAATTCAGAGCTTAACCTGGCCTACAGGTACTCTYGTGTTTCCTCCAACCTGAATATACTTTTTCTGAACTTCAGCCAACTTGTTCCTGTGCTTGGTTTGACTGTGCCTTAAGAATAGAATCGAGTATCTTGTCATGGGGAAACTTAGAACTAGAGAATCCACAAGCAGACAGRGCAAGCAAAGTTGCTGGTTAGATTGAGTAGGTAAGAAAGGGATGAACATTTACAGGGGATAGCAGGGATATGAGCAGAAAAATAAGGAACTGCATTTGCTTTGAGGAAGGGAAAAGGAAATGGCCAAAAACAAAAGCAGGAGCGGGATCAAGTCTACCATTCTGAAGGATACTCCATTCTTCCACACAGAAGGCTCACTTCTTTCTCCTCAAAAAAGCAACCCCAGTCTTGCACAAAAAAAGCACTTGAATAAGAGGTCTTAAAAACTATCACATCTAACTGAGGCCCAYAGAGCCCCAAAGTTAATGTGGAAAACTCACAGGTTCTAAGGAATATCATTAATATACTAAGGACAAGTAACTCAGGTGAAAGATGACATTGAATTCCACCGCCCCAGATGGAAAAACTGACTGAGAATACTACACTAGCATCACTCTAAATTAAGGCAAAGAATCTGTTGAGGAAACGTCATTACTTGTTTGAAGAAGAGATCCYGAAACTATAGAAATTTCCAGGAATGCTAATCTGGACAGGATAACTAGGTTCACAGTATAAAATGGAATAAGTATGAGAAGTTTTTTTAATCACTATATATTAACTAATTTCAAATTGTTATGTAAATATTGGTATTTCTATTTCCTACCCTTCCTTTCAGAAGCACTTTTGGCCCAACAAAGAATTAGGTGGCTTTTTACTATCAGCTTCCTAGCAAATAGCTGCAAAATGTTTTGTGGTGAGCAAAGCATCCTTGCTGTGAGAGCATTTAATTACATCAGCAGTGAGAAGGCCCAGATAGCTGCACTTAATCCTATGCAGACAAACAGGCACGAGATCAACAAGCTGGCTGCTTTGCTTCAGCTAGGACACATTCCTGAGTACATGAGAGGTATGGGGAGATAAGTATGCTGTTAGCACTTCCTAAGGGGAGCTCAGCACCTTGTAGGACAGAGTTGATTACTGCATTCCCAATGAGACATGTGAGGCAAATTCCTTTTACCATACCTCCTCATTATTTCAATGAATTAGCAGCCTGCAAGATGAGCTAAACACTGATGACTCAAAACCATTGAGCCCATAAACACAAACCTGATGTTTTCTCCTTCAGACAAAACAGTGAGTAAATAAATAGCAAACATTTTAACTAAATTCATAAATGAGTTCCAGGCAAAAGGTGAATAATTTGGAATTTGTCACTCTACTGTATCATTGCGTCCTTGGATGCAGTTCCAATGTATGCCCYAAGTATAATTCTTTGGTTAAACTTAACACTTTGAAAAATATTTTTATGGTATATTGGAATTGGGAGGGGGAAGGAAATACTGATTAAAAGACAAATCACAGCCATGGAACTCTTAACACTGGGTTTGTAAGCCAATGTCAGTGAGTCACTTTTCTTCCATTTCCCCATTTACAACATGTGGATACCCATATTTTGCAACAAATGCATGAAACCCACTCTGTGTAGTGTTAGCTACCAGCACGGGCAGCCATCCTGCCTGCTGATGTTTGTACACCTGATGCTTCAATCATTTGAACAGGCTYTGAGTYTGCAGCTGGGGGCATCAAATTCTTRAAACRGGTAAACACCAGAGATAGGAAGCAGGAAAAGAACACACTGAGTGAGGAAATATAGGTTAAGTCTGGAAATGGGAAGCTTCAAATGCATTTGGAGTTACTAGGGCATCAAAAACTGATTACTATCTGTTGAGAAGGCCACTGAATATAAGATTGTCCCTAGAAAAAGAGCCTCCCAGTGTGCTCAGTCACAAATCATGCCTGGGCAGCAAAGGTRTCCCTGGTGCCAAGGTGCTGGTCCCACCCCAAGTAGCACTAGAGGCTCTCTGTAGTGTCCATAAAACCATGCAAAGCAGCTCACTCTGAAACCTCGGGACTTCCTGACAACTTGGGATAGCTCTGAACCATGAGCCAGTTCCTGCCCTGTCCCACGTACAATTAGCAAAGCTTTCTCTAAACACATGATGCTGCTATGTCTCAAATGAGCTGGAGGCATTCAGAGTTCAGCAATTTGAACCTCATCCCACCATGGTAAATAAAACATCTTTATCCCCCTGGCATCCTAGTGAATACACAGGTGGAGAAGTGATTCTTAATATTGCTCCTCCCATCTTTATGAGTACATGTACACACCATCACACAAAGCAAGGTGAAAAGCTCATTTCTTACATCTGTGGACACA